AGTTCTTTGAAAATGGCTGGCACATCAGAATCCAGGAATGGGTACTCTTTTTCCTGCATCTCTTTTAGAGTCAACTTTCCACTTGGTTTGTCTTGAAAAGAAGTGGATTTCATACTCTGCTTCTTGCTCACCTTCGTCGTGAACTTCATAGGTAACGTATTGACATTCATAGCTTCTTTGCTTTCAGGCTTGGGTACGAACTTGCCCCACTTCCTGACTTCCTGCTTGTCATTTGCTTTGCGAGGTTCATAGATGGGCAGCCTTTCATTTCCCGCGGAGGCCATGCTCAATTCCATGTCATGGGCACGAGTTGCAAGTTCTTCAAATGTGCTAGGCTTGATACCTTGCAAGATGTAGCGCAATCCCCAATGCATGCCTTGGATGCACATCTCTATGCCTGAAGCTTCACTAAGCCTGTCTTTGCAGTTGAGGCTTGCATTTCTCTAACAATTGATAAAGTCGATAACTGGTTCCCCCTTTCGTTGACGAGTATTTGTAAGCTCTATCATACTCACCGTGCGTCTTGTGCTATAAAAGCGATTGAGGAATTCTTGCTCTAGTTGATCCCAGCTGTCGATAGATCCAGCCTCGAGGTCCGTGTACCAGTCAAAAGCATTTCCTTTTAGCGAGCGGACAAACTGCTTTATGAGGTAATCTCCATAAGTCCCAGCATTGTTGCACGTCTCCACGAAGTGCGCAACATATTGCTTCGGGTTACCTTTACCATCAAACTGTTGAAACTTTGGAGGTTGATAGCCAGCAGGCATCTTCAACATATCGACCCTTGCAGTGTACGGCTTTGCATATGTAAGGGAGGATTTGGCAGCAACTTCATATTTGTTCTTAATGGTTCCTTCGATGAACTCCTTCAGTTGATCGATTGGAATCATCCCTTCAGATGAGACAGGGATAGCCTTAGTGGATGCTGCTTGTCTTGGGGGAGAGTCATTCTCTAGAACTTCTGGATGCTTGCCGGGTGCATGGGTAGATTGTTTTTCCATCAAGATTCCCACCCTATCTGTTAGCTTGTTGATTCTAGCCTCTTGATTTTGCATGCATTTGGTCAAGCCAGTGATTGCTTCCGTCAAGTTTGCCAACTGCTCCTCCATGGATGAAGTGTTTGTCACCATGGCTTGCATGATTGTCATGGATGACGGAGAGTAGCATGGATTTTCACACAGATTGATCCTTGATTGGCTCACGCTATGTGGTGTAAGTGGGGAGGATCCATCACTTGAAGCATCATCATCTTCCTTCACAGCAGAGTGCTTGGAGCCGGGGAGGTCAAGCAGAGCAACAGTTTTCTTGATCTTTTCAGCAACATCGCTTCCTCCTTCAGATGCGTTTGTGGCAGATCTTGCTCCTTTTGAGGATGAAGATCCGAAAACAGGGGTTGATGCGGACGGCACTTGGGGTGCTTGTTGTCCTAAAGAGCTTGCTTTGCTCCTCGTAACTGGTCCGAAGCTTCCAAAGGTGACATCGAGGATGCTTTCCACATCAGCATAGAACCTGGAGTTAGCAGCCTTGGTGGAAGTTGAAACGGAGTTGATTTTCTTTGAAGCCATTTCAATGTTCTTGAACTTTGGTGAATAAAAAGTTGAGATGAGAGGTAGAGATTGTCCCACTGGGCGTGCCAGAATTTGTAGACAATAAATTTGTGTCGAGAAAATAAAATCAAGACCGAAAATATCGCAACAATCGTAGTATTTTATTTCAAATATTTGAGTGTTACAATCTCTATGATTCCTCTGATTCTACTTTTCAGCAGTAAATAAATTCAAGGGCCTTTGAACTTGATCTTGAACCTATATTTGTTTCCACGAACGATGATCTTGTTCTTGAGCTTGAGCTTGAGCTTGATTGCTTGAACTTGATCTTGATTCGTTCTTCTTTCTTGAGCTTGAACTTGAACTTGATTGCTTGAAGCTTGAAACTTGTAGAGAAATTTGCGGCGTTTGATCCACGAGCTCTCTCTTGCTTCTTGTTATAACTTCTGGTCCCTTTTCTGAGTTATGAAGACCCCTATTTATAGTTGTGAAAGGGAAGAGTCATGATAAGAACAAACTCTTTCCGACCAATCAAATTGAAGGGTGACATGGCGACATTTGATTGGCCAGAGCATGTCACTTGCACACGTGGCACGATTTCATTGGCCTTTCAGTATGACTGGGCATGCCTTGTCATTTTGACACATGGCATGATCCTATTGGCTCTTCCGTTTGACTTGGCGTGCCACGTCATTTGACACGTGGCACCAAACTGGGCCTCTAGGAAGATGACATCTTGGGCTTAACGAAGTGGGCTTATCACTTTAGTCCAATTAAATGGGATGTCCCAATGGATTAAGACTTGTTTATTTAATCCATATATATTGGACTTATATAATTAATTCATTTATATATTAGCCCATAATATTTATTTGGACCAATATATCTTGAATTTAAAATATTGTCCAAATTATTTTACGGATTTAATTCCAATAAAATTTATATGCCTACAGTAGGAACTTAATATCTTGTTGTACATGGACTTTGCCACTCGGATCAGTTTCCCTCCTCGCAAAGATATGGCACGTCAATTGCAACTTTTATCTTTGGCAAATCACGTGACCAAGCAAACACTAGCAAATCCATGTGACCAAGCAAACACTATAGCTCAGTCACTATATCAGTTGAATTTTGACTCCAACAAAATGAGGTCTCCAACCACTAGTTTGACGTGCTATTTTAAAACTTTACGCAAACTAATCCTCACGAGGTGATACTTGATTTTGACAGCAATCTCAGAATTTGAGCCTTCAATGGATGAAATAATATTCTTTACTCCACTTTGAAGTGTCACGGCTATGGTGAGATTATTTGGAGCATCCTCTCCGTTAGTTTGCGGCTTCCGCGAAAGACTACTTGGACGTCTTTCTTATAGTTTTGCGGCTTTGAACAGGAGACGTTGCCCCCTGGATTGCAGTCCTCATTTGAGATCTGTTTTTTTTTTTCCGGCATCTCCAAGAATGAAGTGTTCGAATCTATTGAAGCCATTAAGCCTTGAACATAGCCATAAAAAAGTTGAATTTGAAACTTATAGTTTTTTGACTTGCAGGATGAAGAGATGAAGGGCAGAATTATCCCACTTGGCGTGCCAATTTGTTTGCAACAAATTATATGTGATACAAAAATAAATTGCAACCATAATATAAATATGAAAAAAACATAATTTTATTCATAAAAAGACGCGGGTACAATTCTGTTTATCCCCTTGATTCTTCTCTCCTGATTATCTCCGTGATTCGAGGGCTAGAATAGCGTGTTTCTCGAACGTAGTATAGTGCGGGCTTTCATGGATTTATTTGATATCCATGAAGTATGTTGGTGTTCTTGAAGTATTTGATTATCAAGAATTATCCGGCCACTTCTTGGTCTCTTTGTGAATATCCTGTGAGTTTATGGGATTTTCGAGATGATCTCCATTTTTTGAGATGCCTCTTCAAAGGGAATATGTGACCCTTTTTATAGCTTTAATTTAGGGTTAGGGTAAAGTAACTTCCAAGAAACCCTAATAGACTCCTAGGATTTCAAGAGTCCTGTAGCATCTTTAATTTAGGATTTGGCTTGATCCAATAAAATTTTGATGTCTACAACCAAAAAAAAAAAAAAAAGAAGAAGTAAACGATAAAGAAATATAAAAAGGTAATGGAAGTTTCCGAAAAAGTATAAAAAATCAAAGCATGATACACGAATGAGTATTGAAATGCTTCTGTTTTATTTACATTCTTATTGCCTTATTTTCTTCCGGAAAGTTAAACTGATTCTTTCTTCGTTCTACTTTTATTTGGACAAGGATGAAGCTTTTTGTTTCAAGTTTTATATAGCACAAAGTGAGGTGATTACTTCGATGAGCAATTTTTTTATTTTAAAATAGTAATTGATTTAAACTTTAAACTCTTTATTTTTGAGTCATTCTTCAACTTTTATGACTGCCGGAGAAAGTTAAAATAGGTCAAAAACTTGATATTCCTTGCAAAATCTCGTCCTCATGACACTGATCCAAATATGCTAGAAGTAAAGGAATCTCGAAACTTAAGCTATCTGAAGACTTATGCGAGGAAGGATTTCTTCTTCTATTAGTAAGTTAAGTAGAATATACATAAGTCGCTTTAAAAGAATTTATAATTTCTTTTAATATTTCAGTTTATAACTCAAAATTATTTTTAAATAATGTTATATACGTAATTTTAAAAAAAAATTATTTTCGTTGATATAAATACAATACACGCGCAACGCGCGTAATTAAAAAGTTACTAGTAGTATATAATATTAAAGCCCCGTTATTAAGGAAAAAGAATTGTTTTAACATTATTCACGGTTTATATGTTTTCAAGCAAAAAATGAACTCCAAATTCTGACGCGAATTTCCATCTAAACTAACCTCCGATTTCCACTTGCTTCTCAAACATCTCTTCCTCCGGCGAAGTCGAGTTGTAAGTTCCGCTCTTTATGTCTCTCTGTATTTGAAAAAGGAAAACCCTAAATCCCTCTTCCCAATTGTTTAATAAAATAAAAAATTTGTTTTTAATGGTAAACTCAAAAACAAAAAATCTCATTATGTTCCATGCTTTGCACTGCTTCGCTGCTTAAACATATTGTCGACTTCGATTTCTCATGTTTCTTATTTGGAGGCTCATGTAATAGATGGCTCTGAAGTTGTGAATATTTAGATTATTAAGATAATATATAAGACCGTAAAAGATGCTATTTTCTTTTTATTTTTTATTGTTACTATTCAGCATTTGGGATTATTGGAGGTCAAGATTTACAACTGATTCTAATTCCTAACCAATAATTGAATAACATTCCGATTATATCTAATACAGTCTAAACAGACGGGCCATTGAAGTTTGTTTGGTGTGCTATTGAACTGACTTTTTAACATCTGTAACAATTAGAAATTTTCCGTTTATACTATATATTTTATAAGCAAGAAATCTGTTTGTCTGAGCTCAGCATCTTATGTTAGCTTATACTGCTAGTTCCAAGCTTGGATAAAGGGGGCGGTTGTAGAGTAGGTTGTCCGTTCAGACTAAAACTAGTCAATTTATCAATCCTCAGCGAATTATGAATCTTCACAGTATTCAAAAACTAGGTGTTGTTGTTGTGCTGGGTTTTTATTGAAGGTGATGTCCGGGCCTGCGCACCTCGACTATTCTTCATTCTCCGTGTACCTACTACCATGCACCAATACAGGATAATTCTGCCTACCAAGTTTTAGACAGGTGGGAAGAAATCACCTAGTGTGTTTTGACTTGACTGGAACTTGGACTTGAGACATCATGGTTCTTCTCCGTTGTTGTACTATATTATAAAAAAAAGTCTGAAATTGTCCAATTTTGTTGAAGCAGAGAGCTGTCAAGGACAGAGAGAGCACAGTGATATTCCTGGGAGAGAAAAATGGTATTCTTTTTTCCTGATCTCTCTTTCTTAGTGCTGTATATACTTGGTGTCTGCTTTGTTTTCTCCAATTTTTCTACAGTGGGAAGTTTATTTACCTTGTTGGAATGAATTCTTATTTGAGGTTTTTTCTCATATATTTATTTGATCTATATTCTGGCTGGGCTTTGCCTCTGACCCACTCTGTTTTCCAGTTGTTTTTCTCATATTTCAAGGATCTGGTAGGCAGAGAAGTGACTGTGGAACTGAAGAATGATTTGGCTATCCGAGGAACATTACATTCAGTTGATCAGTATCTGAACATTAAGCTTGAAAACACGAGGGTTGTTGACGAGGACAAGTACCCCCACATGGTAATTATTCCTTGTTCTCCTCCAATCGTGTGGGTTGGGTGGGACAATTGACATTTAGGGTTCATTTTATTTATGAGCTATGTTGTGTTCTTCTATCTTTGTTCTTTTTGTTTTCAATCGTCAATTTCATCTGTGAAAATATGTGGCCATGCATTTCATTTTGTTCTTTCTTTCACCTTCTCTCTTTGTGTACGATTGGTTGAGAACCTCTGATTGGCTCTCTCTCACTCTCTCAATTGAAGAACTTGTGAATTTGTTCTTTTTGGTTTGGTTATGCATTAGGAGGGCATAATATTTTTCTTCTCCATAGTAGTCTTTAGTTGTGAACCCTGATAGTTTTGCTAGAACTATTTACTGTTGGTTGGATATTTGAATTAAGGAGGGCCACTTTGAAGTACTGATGTCCAGTGAAGAAGGTCAATTTGAAGTATTAACTTCTCTGTGTGCCTAAAATTCTGGTCACTGAGGTTCACAACGATATGAGATTCTTTTTGTAATTTTAGTCTATGGTTATGAGCTTTGTCGATCACTATGACTATGATTGTTTAGTGGCTCTGTCCTGCTAAGGCCTAGTGTTTGTTCATATTTGTTATAAGCTATGCTATGATCTATTCACCTTTCTGTTTTAATGTAACTACTTATGTTACTTGAAGGCGTCTAGCTTTACATTCTTTGAACATTTGGACACTGCGGATTTCTTATTCCAAGGTTAAGAACTTGCAAGTACAAGAATCCAATATAACTGTAACTATTGTAGTGCTGGGGAAAACCTTAACTAAAGAATTTTGTGTCTTACTCAACATGGAAGCTGCAGAGAAGTCAATAGAATGGTGAACCTTATGCTCTATATATAACCACAATGATATCGCCTGTGGTTGGGTGAAATATGATGGTCTCTCCAAATAAATGACCTTGTGTTGTTTCGTTATGAGTCGTCGTCTTCTTCTTCTTCTTCTTCTTCTTGGGTTGAAAATCTTCTATGGCTTTAACAGATTGAATTTGTTGTCTCATTGGTGCCTTGATGTCTTACCAATTTGGAACCAACGCATATGTGGTAATCAGAGCCGGATCCAGGATTTGATAGCTGTGGGTGTCACTATTTAATGTAAACTTACCACTTAACAAGTGATAACCAAACTGAAAATGTTTGGTCCTTTACTTGAAATCATGGAAAAAAAACATTAACTAGATAAAAAATGATTAAAAGCATATGCAAATAAAAAATTTGGGATATTAAAAAAGAAAACAGAGGCAAATATAAATTTCTAATTTAAATAAACAATAAAAATAGGGTTGTACAAAGAGAGGAAATACAAAGATGAACATAAAAGAAATCAAGAAAAGAAAAGAAAATGAATAAAGGGAACAAGTGAGGCGGAAAGGAACCGTAAAATTGAATTGATAAGATGAGTGAGGCAAGTATCGATCTTGGGTCTTACGCCTGGTAAGAAAAACTTGGACCACGGCACCTAACTTTACTTTGTGACTGAGGGTGCCACACTCTAATTATGAACGCTTTTTACGTGAAAATACCAGTGTATATATGAATTTTTACTCGAGCGACCCAGTGGCATACCACCCCCTCTCCTCTACATAGATCCGCCTCTGGTGGTAATGTTAATTTTCAATGTTGCAATTTTTGGTCTCATTGGCTCGGAATTACTTTTGCATCTTGTTTTCTAGATACAAAAGTTGGAGCTGGAAGCAACTATCCCTGTAGGCCCATAAAATATTACTAGGTGCACGAAATTGGAACCGGAATCAACAATTAGGATAGGACCACGAATTATGAATATCCTAGATGGTGCTAGGGATAGCAATGGGGGGAATGGTAGATGCTTCACCCTCCTAACCTACGCCTACCAAGGGCAAATTTCGCCATGCCCCTCTGACCCTGCTGCACTTTTCCCGCTAGGTTGGGTTCCCTCGTGTTTCGCCTTGTGAATTGTTTTTTTTTCATTCACTTATCCAGCTCGCCCCATCTGAATTAAAGAAAACAGATGTCCTTTGGCCCATTCCACGTAGGCAAGCACCCACTTCCTTGTAGAGTAGGGAAGGAGATCTCGGTAGAGCTGCAGCTTAATTAATCCTATAGATTGGGATGTATAGTTACAAAAAGAAAGATTATTTCGCCAATGTAAAGATGACGGTCTCTTTTCTATTTATATGGCAAGCTATGTAGCCATCAACCTTTCCCGGTCGTCAGTTTCTTATACGCTATATTCCTATACTGTAAAATGTTATTCCTGCAATTTTAAAGGTATGAACCAGTGTTGTAAATAGCGCTCACCTCAGCGCTAATAACATGTGGCGACACAAAGCTGAAGCCCGTCACTATTTTCAGCTGAGGCGTCGCGAAATTAGAAAAGTGGCAAGGAGGCATCAGTGGGGCAAGGAGACGAGGATGTGACAGAAGCATCGTTTTTTTCCACAAAAAAAGCAAGAGACTCTTCTTTCTTCTTCTTCTTCCTCTTCTTCTTCATGAATTATTGACTATCTTGTTCTAGACTTCTAGTATCTACTATCTACTTTAAGTTTTTGTATTGAAATATTTGCTAATACGTTATTGCTATTGAGTTTTTGGTTATTTATATATGCAAATTACTATATATATATATATATATATATTAATTGGCGCTTCACTTAAAAAAGTCGAGAACATTCTCGTATTGACATTAGGTTTTCCTAGTATGTCTATTTTTGTTTTCCTTTCTTTTTTGAGTAACAGAACTTGGGTTTAATTTGCCTACTTTTTTCACTCTTCCTTTGCTGAAACATACATGCCTTTTTGTCCCTAGTATTTTCTTCTTTTTGTGTTTTGGTACTCATTTCATTTCTCGCTATAGTGCTGATAAAACTGTTTTTGATGGTGACAGAAATCAGTGAGGAATTGCTTCATCAGAGGATCGGTGGTGAGATATGTGCAGTTACCTCCGGATGGAGTTGACATAGAACTTCTTCATGATGCTACAAGGAGAGAAGCTCGGGGTGGCTGAAATCTGGACTTTGAAATACAGTCCATTTTCACGTTTTCAGTTGGATGAATCGGCATATACTGATTTTTTCTAACTGTTCACTGTTTCCTTCTAATTACTAGTATGCACAGCTGTAATGACTACTGCAACCAATGATGTGAAACCAGTGGATATGAATGTTGACCCTAAGACATTTCTCAGTCTTTTGACAAAATTAAGAATGTTAAAAACGCCCGAGATCCTTCCGTAGTGCCACTTTTTTCGGGGAAATGTTACCTACCAATGGAAAAATCGTTCTTATGGACCATACAAATGTTCTAGTTATATGTCTATCTTCAGGAGAAGTAAAATATGAGATTTTTGGAGGATCAGCATCTTCTACTATTCAATTTGTAACTGGTCCTGGAGATTATTTCCTCCTTACACTAAAATGCAAGTTTTGCGATGCTCTCTGTCTGTGCTAGAGACTAGATAACATAATACCAACAAAAGTTATGTGAAAGGCATTAATAATACAAAAGTTATATCGTGTTTAGCTCATATCAGGATGGCTGATGTATAATTAAAGTTACGGGTTTAGAATCAATAGTTTTGGTTCAGACTCTGTGTATGTCTCTAAAGTTCAAGTTTGGGATTCACCTCTGGCTCAAATACTATGTAAAGAATTAGAATTTTAGCAAAGAACATAAGAGTTAGAATTAGAAATGTATTTTAGTGAGAATAATATGCATATATAATACTTGTTTAAATTCTGAAAGCTACGTGTCATGATCTCATGATTTAATGTAATTCTTTTTAGTGACATTACATGAAATAAGGCATGAATGTATTCAATATCGAACACTTAATAAACATAAGAAAAATAACAGTATAGATCTTCAAAGTTTATTAAGTAATGCTTTTGTAATTTTTTTAGTATTAAACAAGAAATAACATAGGCTAATAGGTGTTCCAATGCTCAAACACGGAAATAGCTAAACTACACCTCGGAGATTAACATTCACTTATAATTCTTGGTTGTGGCAAAAGGTAAAATCTTTGAGAAGAAGCTTCTTTCCTTCTACTAATTAGTAATAGCTAGGTCAAATTACTTTACCATATATATATTAAGCTGTTTTATATTTATAGTTTTGTACCTCTAATCACGATATTACATTGTGTACATCATGCTAAACATATAACTTTTTACTTTTACCAGATTCTGTATTTATTCTCTATTCGTTTCGTTTCTATAAATATATTTTTAACCTTTTTTATTATCCATATAAGAATCAGAAACATTGATCCCAAGTATCTACAATATTTACTTTCCCTCAGTGACTACTTTATAGCACTAACTGATGGAAGATTTAGTTTCTGCCAAAATCTTACGTTAATTAATGTTCGACCCTAGTTTAGCAATATTTTTGCTTCCTACCATAAAATGCTGCTACTTTCCATAATCAGAATCTGTATCTATAAATTGGGTATATTTTTCATTATGACACCATTTTACTAGTTTAGATCCTCTAAAATTCCTGGTTTTGCATGCAAAATATTTAGCCCCTTTTGTTTTAAGATTGTCCATTTCAATTTTGCCAATAATTCGAAGTCACTGCTTTGTGCTGGTATAATATATATGCAGTTATTTAGAGATATATATTTATGCCAAATATGTATCCTATGTTCTCAGAAAAGAGTAATTAATAGTGGTAGCCACACTCACTGAATTAAAATCTTAGATTCGCTTCTCTCTGAACTCCTCAAAGTATATTTTGTATACATACTATATACTCGGTACATTGTGTTTCTTGTGTTTGTTTTCTTATTTGGTGGTGGAATCAAGTTGTCTTGATGGAACAGAGTCCTTATGATCGGGTATTCACTTTCTTCCTTTCCAATCTTTACCATTTTTATATCTCTTTTCATCTTACATTATAATAATCTTATATATTTTTTGTAATTGTAAATATGTGAACTATGAGTATTTATCTTGGATGCACTTTAAAACTGCAGGTGTGTGTTATAAAAATTGATGTCTGCTGTTGCAAAGGGTGTCAAAAGAAGTTGAAGAAGTTGTTAACAAAAGTCGAAGGTAATTGTTTAAGTTGGTTTTATCCTTTTTCTTTCATTTATCAATTTTCATGTCAAATAGACCTTATTAGAGAGGGCCTTATTGCACGACAAGTCTATTTGTAATTTTACCAAAAAAGTTAAAAAGAGAGAATCATATATATTAACACTAATAATTGTAATTTTAACAAATGTGTAATTCCAGTATGAGTGTATACATGCATCCACGCAAATCATGTAAAATGATAGGGCAGACCGGTGCACAAAGCATGTTCACCCAAAGTCCCGTCATGTAAAATGATACAAAATTTTAAATCTTGTGCTTATTTTCTTATGAGTCCCATTATTGTTGTACAATTTTGATTAAGTCTGAGCATGAATGCTTTGGTTAAACCTTTTATGAAACCATTTATAACAAAGAATGTCTAATCTTGGATCTTATGCTAGGTGTATTTGATGTTATGCATGATCCAAAAACAAAATTGGCTAACATTAAAGGAAGATTTGATCCTTTTGTTCTCACGAATACTATCAACAACAAATTGAGAAAGAAAGCAGCAGAACTCATATCTTATAACAAGCATCCCCCTCTTCATGAAGAAGTACATACTACTGCTCCTGATCAACAAAATGCAGCAGCTCCTCATCCCTACAAGGACAAAGGCAAGACTAAAGTTGGACAGAAGAACAAGATTCCAGATTCTTCGTGTCGTGATGATTCTAATGAAGCTTCTGATCCCTACAAGTACAAAGGCAAGACCAAAGTTGGACAGCAGAAAAAGAATCAAGAATCTTCATGTCGAGATGAAACATTTATATTGAGAAAAGACACTAAGAAGGATCATAAACCTGAAGCTTATGAGCCCCCAAAAGGGGTTGATGAAGCAATTTGCAGAGATCGCTATTGCAGAATACACAAAAGATCCGGATCCATTCAAGACCGCGTAACTAAAGAAGCAAGAGAGAAAGCATCTTCTACGTTTTGGCAGCTGCCAAATCTTTACCAAAGACTATATGACGGAGAAGCTAGTTATCCGCCTTATCATCCGGGCATGTTTCCACCGGAGTATGGTTTCCATCCTCCAAGTTTGCCCATGTCAGGGATGAATGACTACACCAGTTACCTCAACAATGAAAATCCTCGCAATTGCAACACTATGTGAGGCTGGGAGTTGTACCAAATTGGTTCCATACTTTGATCACGTTTTATTTTCGTCTTCTTTTCTTTTTATCCAATGATTTTTTATAACTAACTTCTAAAGATCCTCTTAGCAACAATGTTAAGAAATTTACACTATGGGTATTATTTGACCTGTTATAGCAGATTGCCATTAAGGACAGTTACATGGTAAAGATTCTTTTACACTATCAGTGTATTGAAACTAAACTCAATTATTAATGATGGTTTGATGATTTTGTACTACAAAGACCCCCAGCCGTGCAATGTTAACTGCTGATAAATTGAAACTTCATTCTCCATTACACTACTTTTTGGACAAATCAGCACTTTGATTTTCTGATGGAGAACTAGTACCTGAGATATTCTAAGCAATGCACTTGTATGCTTCCTGCCTAGTTGAAATTCATTAAGTTATAGTCAAGATAAATGACCTTTTGCTTGTTCCTGACTATTTATAACTTATGGACAAATTTATGAGTGTTTTGTCTAGGTTATACACCCAGCTTAAGAATCACACTATGAATGTTTATACACCCAGCTTAAGAATCATAATAAGGCCAATCATCAAGTTGGCAATTACACGTCCGATAACTTGTTGAGCGTAGTGCATTGTCCTAAAAACATCTAAACCGGACATCATGTATTGTTCAAGAGCCACACATGAACTCTAAAGTAGACTACGCCATAGCTGTGTATGGAATTACTGATGAAGCAAACTGCAAGTTCACTTTCTGTTTACCTGTATCATCGATTAGTTATAGTCAAGTCAGATCAAGGAATGGAGACCTCAGAGACTGCTATATCTACTTCCCTTCTGACTGTACCTTGAAGCAATGCCTTTATATTAGAGATTAACTGAACCAGATGGAAAACTTACTTAAATTGTGATTTCCTCCAGGTTTTCTCTACAAATCACAGAATAAACTAATCATGTTCAATCCTAAATTAGTTAGAATTGACTATACTCTAGAAATACTTCTAACAAATATCGAACCAAATGTAACTACAAACTAAACATTTATCTCAATTACTTTGTATTCACATATGTCTTTTTCCTTTACTGTAATTTGTTCCTACATATTGAGAGATTATAGGTCTTTTAGAACAACTTTCCTGATTTTAGGTCTACCTCAATTTCTTTTAACACATCATTATCATATTAATGCACTCACGGGCTGGTGCATATGTAGGTTTCTTTCGCTAAGAATAATCATTACTTCCCACAGATCACACATACAAGAAATATTAACGGCCAGATTCAGTGATAAATAGATGTGAAAGCATATTGCAGTGTTGAAAGCTAAGTTGCTCCGACAGGGCAGTTTAGTCCGTGTCGACACGACACTAGTATGGGTGTGGGTATGGGATCCATGCCGGATCTGGTCAAACAATTTTGGATACTTTGACCGCGACAAACGGAAAAATTCCAGACGAGTTACAATTTGTCCCGAAATCAGAACCAAAACTAGGGTAAATTCGAAGAAAATAGCTTATCTTATCTAGGAAATTAATCCTTAAACTTATCTACAATTTGAGAATAAAAAAATCCACACTTTACAAGCTATAGGTGAGTATTCCACAAAATTTATCATAATTTAGAGATATTTTTCTTTTTTTTTGAATTATTTTTAGCCGGATCCCCGCTCCCGTATCAGTACTAGGATTCATATCCCCGAATCTTAGAATTTACATCTTGAAGGATTCGACCTCTAGATCCGCACCCGTGTCCGAGCAACTTAGGTTGAAAGTAATCAAAAGAGATACATTGGACAACACAAGTTACTTAAAATCATCTCAGGCATAAATACTAGTATGAGATAATACCAGCAACAGTACACTTCAGATGATCATAGCAAGATAACTTCTCATCAAATAAGAGGTACAATACGGGGTTTATCAATATTTAGCAACCTCATTTTTCTCATGAAAGACTTTAAGACATTTTAACTGGAAAATGCAGCTACCAGCATGTACCTTTGCACTCACTTGACATACTTGGTAAACCAATCTAACATGTGCTGATGGGCTTCTTCAGCACTCTGCACTGCCTCTTTGTCTTCAACATTGTATCTTACTGTCCACCCATGCTTAACACTAGGAAATATTTTGACAAAGCTGTCCACCTTATTAAGGAAAGAAAGCAAAAGCAAATGGTTAATCTAAAATCTTGTAACACACTGAGAGATTCATCAAATTAGTTACTTACTTATATCAGTGTATCCCCTGAATAAACATGATAGTATTATTTTCCCACATAATCTTTTTAGAATGACATCATGTAAAATGACAGACAAAATCCTAATAATCAACTCTTATAGTCCTATCCTCACTAGGAGTATTAAGGTAAGGCCCAGAGGCAGAGCGTGGAGGGGGTACCAATGTCTTTTGGTCTCGCCGGCGAAACTTCTGTCAAGACATTGCGGTGGTGGGTGGCGGTCCTGGCGGACTGTGGTGTGAGTTAGGGAGAGAGAAGCTGGGTTTGGAATTGGAGAAAGAGTTAGTTTCTAATTTCTGTCGTGGAGGGAGAAGAAAAAGCAAATAAAAAAAAAAGGAATCTGGTATGCTAAAGAAAAGTTGTTCAATTACAAAACAGTATGCTATAGTCAGGAACTGAACCCAGATCATTGAACCTAAGGGGAGAGTTAAGGAGCCCCGTCGGCCACTGACCCATTTTAATATTTGTGTATCAGGGTGCCTAGTAAAACATATCTACATTTTGCTGGGTATATATATCCGAGGTTAACGGGATCCTGTGACACCCCTCCCCATAGAGTAGGTTCGCCTGTGGTAAGGCCTAGCCCCCTTTACCTGTACTATCTCTTTTGAGTATTATTAAAATAAATCACCCATGAATTCGAGTTTGGAACCTAGGTGGTTCCCTTAAAAAAAAATGTCATGTACCTCAGGTTTTGATGACAAAATCTCCTCAAACTGCTTAATAAGCTCCGGAGGAGAGATTCTATCTATCTCAGCTGCTAAAATAGCTATTGGTGCCTTAACCTCTGCAAGTAATATGTATCATCAGTCGATGGGCAGGATAAAAAAGATACATGTTCAAGGTAGTCATCAGAATTCAAACAATAGTTAATTACCAATTGCTTAGAACCAAGGGTATTCATAAATTAAGTAGCAAAGCTCATATTAATACAACCAGCTATATGAAGTCTTTGGAGTATAAACATCAATCTGGATCTCAATGCCCCTTGCGGTAACAGTATATGCAACAAATTCGTATAAAATCCAGGATTCAAGTGACATTGAGAAAATCAAATGGAACGGGTGAATATGCAACAAATTGGTATAAATCAGAGGTAATAGCTCAATCTGATCACAGGTGATTTTAGTAATAACAGCCATACCTTTAATATCATCAACTTTGACTAATGATGGATGCAATTGCACTGCAGCTTGAATGTAGTCAGACTTGGCTAGGTCGGTAACCACCTTTGCTGTTAGAAAACTGGAGGTCAGGATCACATTCACAACCATCACAAAAGCATTGACCCTTTACATCAATAACCCTAAAACCTTAAAGTGCAAAAACTTACCACCCCAGCAAAACCCTGCAGCCCCAATTGCAGATATACCTTTATCTTTGAGAGCAGCAACAACTTTTTTTGCATCTTCAAATCCTTTATCCTAAAAAGAATTAACAAATAAAAAATTAATAGCATAGTGGCAAGAGTGTTGCTACGAATGTCATGGAACATTCCCAAGCATTATCAACTTAATGAATGGAGAAATAGGATGTCGATGGCATGGCCTCCTTTGACTCTCTAGAGTCAAATCAATGGCTATTTAATAAAAAAGAAAGCCTAAGTTCAACAAATTATGAACACATACTGTTCCATGTGATTGTATCCAGATTGATAAAGGCTTCTCCGTGTTTTCAGGATTATAAGGATCACCATAAAGAAAATCAGGAACTACCACATAGTACCCTGCAGCTGCAACTTTGTCAGCAAGAGTCCTACATAAAAACAGTTGAATTTTGCGATCAGCCAAAGATATAAATAGGAAATAAAAAAAAATAACTGGACAAACACAGAGAATGGTGACCTGACTTCTTCCCTTGGAACGTAACCAAAAAGATATAATGATAACACATCACTGAATTGCTAGCTGTTAGACTCATTTTCTGGAAGCATTGTGGTTATAAAGAATATTCCTATGTCTGAATGTCAAAACGGAAGTGCGATAGAAGCAGAAACATTCTCAGAGTATACATTTGAGAGATGAATCAATCAATCAATCAACTATCCCATAATCCCGAACTAGTTGGATGAGCTATGTACATCCGCTCTATTTGGACCCATGTTTAGCTTCTTCACTCCCATCCATACTAATACCACATCCGCCTGGTAGGACCAATCTTTTTGGTTAAATGGACATATAAACGGTGTTTGAGTAAGCTTAAAAGCTGGTCAAACAAGTTTTTAAGCACTCTTTTGCTTAATTTGGTGTTTGATAAACACCAGAGAGATATTAAGCCAAGAGCTTTTACACAATAAGCAAGTAACAATTGTGAGGTGGGAAAGAATAGTAATTTAAAAGCTATTTGACTATTCTAGGCTGAACTTGAGAAGCAGTGCGTACCTTAGATTTGGTGCTTCATAACCTGCCAAGAATTATTAAGACCATAAGAAATCGTCTTCCGAAATAAAAAGTTCATCCCTTCACTATAATAAACTAAACAAGAAAATCAAAAAGTCTTTTGCATCTCTAATATACATATAAATTTTCTTGCTAATCCAGAATAAATATTTGTTGTGTACCCAATTTGCCTGAACTTTGGAAAACTCGATGCAAAGAAACTTTCAATAACGAAAATGCAAGAACGTAAAAGAACTTAATAAACATTCCATACATCCAGTTGCTGAGGCTCTAATTGTTGTATTTCTTGCTACAAGTAAATTAACTACCATACTAATTGTACTAAAAAAAAAAAAGGGGGAATTTTCATAAAGCACTAAAGTTTAGAGCCTAATTAACATAAGTAACTATAATTTACCTAATTATTATTCGTAGCTACTGTTCAATTGTTACGGGCTTGTATTTGAACACGAAATTGACTGTATTCGTTAGCACAAGGAATACAAGCAAGGGGAAATACAAAAATACTGAAAAATAGAATGCTCTCATTGAGTAAGAAGGGGCAGAAAGAGAAATGAAAGTGCAAAGGGAGCAGAATCCTATAGAAGAAAGTTGATGAATAAGACGGCTGTTATATAAAAAGGGAGGAGGTGAGTACCATAAACGTCGGAGACGAGAAGGATAGCGAGTTTGGAAGAGGAAGGAGCAGAGACGTATGCTTTGAAGCCTCCAATTTCTAAAACGGACCCAACTCCGCTACTTGAGCTCAATGTTGGTGGGTTCTCGCAGCATTCAGCCCCTGCCATCTTTTGCTACTTTAGATTGATACAATACAGAGAGAGTGTTTGTTTGTGTGTGTGACCAAGACAGTGACTTTATAATGAGTGATTGATTATACACAGAGAGATATGGAAAAGGAGGATACCATTAATTAATTAATTAGGATTCACCTGATATGAGAGAGATTATGTAGAATCTCATTTTTGTACAACACTTTCATGCGTCTCATTCAGTGTAACAAGGAAATATTATCCCCTATACCTTTTAAATGGGATAAAAATCTCCTTTTCTCTTGACTTCAAAATGAAAGGTCAAATGACATAGTCATTGACGGAATCATTAAAAGGTCATAACTGACCCTCAATTAATACTTATGAATTATGGAGTATATATTTTAATAAATAAATTTAGATACTAGTAATATATTGTATAGAAATTATAGGGGATAGGGAAAGAGAAAAGGAATATTTTCACTAATACCACTAAACTATAGGGTTGATAATTCTAAAATTGCATGGTATTAAGAAATGAGAGCAAAATAGAACAATATACTAATTGAGACAAAATAAATACGAGGGAGAATATTTTGTTATTTCTTTTCTTGGTATATCTTTCATAGGGTCAAAAGTTCCCTATTTATAAAGGTACAAATCCATTCACTGATTATAAGTTAATGTACTTCTTAATTGAGTACATGAATACAAAGTACGTTAAATGGACATACAAATGCATTCATCTCATTTATAACACCCCCCCTTGGATGTCCATATAAAAGATAATGTGCCTCGTTAAAATCTTACTAGGAAAGCCCAGTGGGAAAAATCCTAGTGAAGGAAAAAGAGTACACATATCTTGTAATACGCATTGAGTGCTCCCTCATTAAAAAATCTTACCAGGAAAACCCAATTGAGACAAAATCTTGGTTAAGGGAAAAAGAGTACAGCGCGTATTATACTCCCCCTGACGAAAGCTTTATTTGATATCTCGGAGACAATGCATTCCAATCTTATGTCTCAGCTTCTCAAATGTTGATGTTGGCAATGCCTTAGTGAATAAATCTGCTAGATTGTCACTTGAACGGATTTGTTGAACATCTATCTCACCATTTTGTTGAAGATCGTGTGTGAAAAAGAATTTTGGTGAAATGTACTTGTTCTGTCTCCTTTGATATATCCCCCTTTAAGTTGAGCTATGCAAGCAACATTGTCTTCATACAATATCGTTGGAATCTTCGTTTTTAAAGAAAGACCACACAGTTGTTGAATATGTTGAGTCACTAATCTCAACCATACACATTCTCGACTAGCTTCATGAATAGCTATTATCTCTGCATGATTGGAAGATGTAGCAGCTAAAGTTTGTTTTGTTGAACGCCATGAAATAGCTGTACCCCCACAAGTAAATAGATAGCCTGTTTGAGATCGGGCTTTATGTGGATCAGACAAATAACCTGCATCTGCATAACCAATCAGCTGTGAATCGGATTCATAAGAATAAAATAACCCCATATCAATAGTCCCTCGGAGGTATCTAAAAATATGTTTAACACCATTCCAGTGTCTTATTGTTGGAAATGAACTAAATCTTGCTAATAAACTTACTGCAAAAGTTATATCAGGTCGAGTATTATTTGCAAGATACATTAGTGCCCCAATTGCACTAAGATATGGAGTTTCATCACCAAGAAGCTCTCCATCATTTTCATGAGGTCGGAATGTATCTTTATTTATATTAAGTGATCTCACAACCAGCGGGGTACTCAATGGATGTGCTTTATCCATATAAAAATGCTTTAGGATCTTTTCGGTATAAGTTGATTGATGGACAAAAATTCCATCTTTCATATGCTCAATTTGTAGACCAAGACAAAATTTTGTCTTTCCAAGATCTTTCATTTCAAACTCTTTCTTCAAACAGTCTACTGCTTTTGGAAGTTCCTCAGGAGTTCCAATGATATTTAGATCATCAACATACACAGCGATTATAACAAATTCAGATCCAGACCTTCTTATAAAAACACAAGGACAAATTGGATCATTATTATACCCTTCTTTCAGCAAATACTCACTCAGGCGATTATACCACATTCCTCTTGATTGTTTCAATCCACATAAGGATTTTTGAAGCTTTATTGAATAAGCTTCCCGAAAACTTTTATTAGTTTCAGGAACTTTAAACCCTTCAGGGATTTTCATATAAATTTTGTTGTCTAATGTGCCATACAAATAGGCTGTGACAACATCCATTAGACGCATATCAAGTTTTTCATGGACTGCTAAATTTATAAGATACCTGAAAGTGATTGTATCCACCACAGGAGAATATGTCTCCATATAATCAATGTCAGGTCTTTGCGAAAATCCTTGTGCCACAAGTCGTGCTTTATATCTAACGACTTCATTTTTATCATTTTATTTTCGCATAAAAACCCATTTGTATCCCACTGGCTTTATTCCTTCAGGTGTTGAGATGAATGCATTTGTATCCCACTGGCTTTATTCCTTCAGGTGTTCGAACTATACGTCTGAATACTTCACGTTTTTCAAGTGACGCTAATTTTGCCAGGATAGCGTCTTTCCATTTTGGCCAATCATTTCTTAATCTACATTCATCGATAGATCTTGGTTCAAGATCCTCATCTTGTTGTATTATCTCAACAGCAACATTATAAGAAAAAATTTTGTTGACAATAATATTATTTCGGTTCCACCTTTTTCCTGTAGAGACATAACTTATTGAGATCTCTTCACTCTTATTATTTTCAGGTACCTGGACCTCCTCTGAGGTCTTATCACTTGTTATTTCACGGGGCTCTGTTTGATCAATTGCCTCCATATTATGATCTCCTACTCCTTTTCGCTTTCGAGGATTTTTATCTAACCAATTGGTCTACCACGTTTCAAGCATGGCTTGGACTCATTTGTATTTATAGATTGTCTAACCGGGACATCAATTCGAATAGGAGCATTAGCAGCTGGAATATGTGATTTAGTCACCCTTGGTAGGTTAGTGAATGCATCTGGCAGTTGATTTGCAATATTTTGTAAATAAATTATCTTTTAAACCTCGTGATCACATTGCTTTGTTCGAGGATCTAAATGAGATAGTGATAATGCATTCTAATCTATCTCCTTTTGCAATTGCTTATTTTCTCCCCCTAATATTGGGTATACTGATTCATCAAAATGGCAATCAGCAAATCTTGCCGTAAATAAATCTCCAGTCATAGGTTCCAAATATTTTATAATAGAAGGAGATTCATACCCAAGATATATCCCCAATCTTCTTTGGGGTCCCATCTTTGTGCTTTGTGGTGGAGCAACTGGAACATATACTACACATCCAAATATTCTAAGATGGGAAATATTTGGCTCCTGACCAAAAGCCAATTGTATTGGGGAGACTTTATGATAATTGTAGGTCTGATCCACACAAGAGCTGCTACATGCAAAATAGCATGGCCCCATGCTGAAATGGAAAGTTTTGTTCTCATAAGCATTAGTCTAGCAATTAATTGGAGCCGTTTGATCAATGATTCTGCTAGACCATTTTGAGTATGAACATGAGCAACTGGATGCTCAATTGTTATCCCAGTTGATATGCAATAATCATTAAAGGCCTGGGACGTAAATTCACCAGCATTATCAAGACGAAGTGTCTTAATTGCATAATCTGGAAACTGTGCTCTTAATTTATTAATTGAGCTAGTAACCTTGCAAATGTCAAATTGCGGGTTGATAACAAGCACACATGTGACCATCTTGTAGATGCATCTATCAAAATCATATAATATCGGTTCACATGGAGGGTGTATGGGCCCACATATATCACCCTGTATACGTTCCAAAAATGCAGGAGATTCAACTCCAACTTTAATTACTGATGGTCTAATAATCAGTTTTCCTTGAGAACATGCAGCACAAGAGAATTCTTTAGTTTGAAGAATCTTCTGGTTCTTCGATGAATGACCATGTGAATTCTCAATTATTTTGCGCATCATGTTATAACCGGGATGGCCCAACCAGTCATGCCAAATAATAAAATCATTAGTAAACTCCTCGTTTACTATGGCATGTGATTCAACTACACTAATATTAGTGTAGTATAATCCGGAGGAAAATGCGGGAAGCTTTTCAAGCACATACTTCTTTTCCGCTTTTATTGTAGTAATATAAAGGTATTCAACCTTTCCTTCATTGGTAGTCTCGATATGATAGCCATTTTGGCAAATATCTTTGAAACTCCACAAGTTTCTTTGATACCTACTACAATATAATGCATCATTAACAACCAATATAGTTCCTCCTGGTAGCAATACAGTCGCTCTTCCAGATCCCTCAATTAATTTTGTACTACCAGATATTGTTATGATATTGACTTCTTTCATAATTAAGTAAGAGAAATATCTCTTATCTTTTAATATGGTGTGCATCTTAGCACTATCCAGAAGACATATTTCTTCTTTATTATTCATACGACCAACTGAAGACTAGGAAGATTTCATATTCTTCAAGAAGAAGAAAAAAATACATCATAAGTAATATTAAAAATTTTAAGAACAAAAGAAAGTACATTTAGGAAATTAAATACTGACAACATAAAAAGTTTTATTCAAAATATGAACTTCATAAAAAGAAATACATTTATTCTTATAATTTTCCAATAATAAGTCTTCAATTATGATGCTCAAAGAAGTGTCCAGCTTTTAAATGAGTAATATCTGCAAGGCCTTCAAACATATCATCTTTATAGGCAAGGTTTGCTTCAACTTTATCATGATTATTCATAGGGCCCGCCTTAACATCATTTTGAAAAGTCAAGTGAGTCTCAACTTTGTTTTGTTCCCCTTTAATAGATGCTTGATAAAGTTTGACAAAATGTTCAGGTGTACGACAAATTCGTGCCTAATGATTTTTCATACCACATCGGTGGCAAACATTACCTTTGCCTTTTGAAGGATTATTCTGAGAACCCTTATTGTTCTCTTGTTTATAACGACCACCACCATGGCGATTATTATTTCGCCCCTTGCCGCGACCACGTATATTTATATGGCCACGATAATTATTTTGTCTTTTTTCAAACTTTGGATCTATCATTCCCAGATTCGCTTCTGGAAATGGAGCTGATCTAGTGGGTCGGGCTTCATGATTTTTCATTAAAAGGGCATTATGTTATTCAGCCACCAAAAGGCATGAAATTAACTTAGAATATTTCTTAAAGCCCTTTTCACGGTATTGCTACTGTAACACCATATTTGAGGCATG